GCTGTCCAATATCACTTTTTGGGCCTAAATAAATATAACTAAATCTAGACCATTTATAGACTTTGCTGAGTTCTTATTATCCTAATTAAGCTGTACATACAGATTAGCAAGGATTACCTAATGTACTATATGCTGAACTGGAATGACTTACATTTCTTTTTATCTCTTTAATGCTTGTTTATGAATAGTGAGAATTGTACAATTGAAGGATAGAAAAGGAGCTAGAGACACTCCTATTTGACTTCAATATTTTACATATAACTTTTTTGTGGTACTGGAGATTAAACCTAGGGCTTCATGCATGTTAAGCCCAAGCTCTGTCATTGAGCTATGCCCTCCAGCCCCCTACCCCTTTTATATTAAAGATGAAAAAACTGACACTAAGAATTTGACTTGATCAAAGCTTAAAAGTTAAGGTATGATCCCAAATTTGGTGCTCTCACCACTTATTAGTGCTCAGTAAATTTAGTTAATAGTTTTGATGTAATTTTATGCAGAGATCTGCAATTTGAATTAAAATGTGAGAAAGTAGTATACCTTCACAATAAAAATACCATGAATCTTTTTTGGTGATTTTTTTCCAATCCATGTTTGTGTGTTTTTCTCACTTTCTCATTGTGTCATGAAACAGTATTTCTAAGTCTGTTTTTAGATATGTTTATGTTACTTTTAGAATTTATATATATGCTCATGCTTAAGTTTAGAACTTGCACCATATAGTTTTAAGTATTTTAGGTAGTAGAGTTTTCATGTGTCAGGCTTTGCTTTTTAGTGCTTTCAGTAAAGTATTCCTTGACTTAAATAATATTTTTGAAGTTAGAAATACCTTTTCTCAGATGAAATATTATCTTTTTTACTTGACTTATGAGGAAGTTTAACCTTCAAAATATTAAAAATATTGTAATATTTCCATTCAAACAAGATTCAGAATATAAATGGTTTCCACATTTAGTAATCTCCAATATTATGCTGCTTATATTTCTGATATCTCAATATATATATGTGTTATGTTGAAAAAAACCCTGAGATAAGATATCCTTGTGAACTTAATTTTGGAGTCTGTTAGCCACTATGTAGACTTGAACAACATCAAATATTAGCCCCTCAAGTATAGAAGTCTTTGCTTGGTAAGGCAAATAGCTAAAATATTATAAAACAGAACTTTTCATCTCCCTAAGAATTATTTCAGTTTTAAGAATTTTTCTGTTTGTTATTATCTTTTTTTTTTTTTTTAAAGAGCGAGAGTTAGAGAGAGAGAGAGAATTTTTCAATATATATTTTCGGCGGACACAACATCTATGTTTGTATGTGGTGCTGAGGATCGAACCGGGCCGCACGCATGCCAGGCGAGCGCGCTACCGCTTGAGCCACATCCCCAGCCCCTCTGTTTGTTATTATCTTGAATCCATGTGCTTGTAAGCTATTTCAGAAAACTGTAGCCAATGTGATAAAGATACATGATTTTAATTACATTATCACATTGAACTGTTATTTTGATGTGAAGTTATAAAAATCTAATTAATTACAGTGCTTTCTCAATTTTAAATTATATACTTTAATTTTATATAATATTTACTCAACAAGTGGGGGATCAGAAAATATATTTATGTTGTATTTTTTAATAAAAGAAACTTCTGGTGGAAGAGACTGTGAAAAGTTGTGTGTGATGGTTGTGAAGGGCTGAGGAATGTTAGTCATTATAGGCCTGCTGGGGAGCAGCAGGAGGAGACTGCTGAGCTGAATTCTGTAATTTTAAGCAGAAAAAATTCCATTGTCAGATTTGTATAAACAGGGTGTTAGGTTTTATTAAAAACATGCAATTCATGACTTTAGTTAAAGGTAATCTTTTTGTTAGATGTAGAAACTAAATTATGATTGTAGTAGGCCTAAATGTGGGGGCATTCCAGGATGCCTTGCTGAATAAGGCAGATTACCTGGCTACCTGATTTAGTGTATGTATATATATGTGTGTGTATATATATATAGAGAGAGAGAGAGAGTAAATTTTAGGAAAAACAAAACGGCTCAAGTTACTTTTGGAATAATAGTAATTATTTTTACAAAAGTTTGTATTTAAACTTTCCATGGAAACTGTTATGGACTACTTCTTATTTATACTGAAACCTTGAGTAACTTTAACATGATAGAATAAAATAGTTTTGAAATATCAAATGCAATAAAAATTCAAAGCTTTGCTTATTGCAGGGTTGAGAAAAACAGAGCACTTAATTCTGAGCTACTTCATTTAAGGTATTTATTTTATTTTATAAAATTTCACAGTGTTTGAAATTATTTATATCTTAACCCTGTTGGAAACTTTCCCCAGTGATGCCATTTGGTCTCCTCATTATTTCTTTCTTTCTTTTTTTCCTGATTATACTCTTCATGTTTTTTGTGGGGAGGATGGGGATTAAACTCAAGATTGAATTCGGGGGCACTTGACCACTGAGCCACATCCCCAGCCCTGTTTGTATTTTATTTAGAGACATGGTCTCACTGAGTTGCTTAGTGCCTCACCATTGCTGAGGCTGGCTTTGAACTTGAGATTTTCCTGCCTCAGCCTTCTGAGCCGCTGAGATTACAGATGTGCGTCACTCACTGTGCCCAGCATGCTCTTCATGTTTACTTTAAAGATTCTTGAAGTTTCATTCTTCTTTTTCCCCTGGCTCTTCTCCCTCCTATGTATGTGTGACATCCCTGAGCTATATTCCTAGTTGCAAAATGCTACAATATTCATCTTTTCTGGATAGCCATTCACTATATTGTGTTTAGGAAATGTTTTTGTACTTTTATCTCATTCTTGATATTTATTAATAGTTCAATTAATAATTTAGTTCTTCAAACAAAATAATAAAATTACGTTCTAAATATTTCCTACCTTCCTTAGAAAGCAAATTCATAGTTGGAAAAGTTGATAATGCAGGTGAAATTTCCACAGGGATACAGGTATATGTACCTTACATACTACCTCATCTCCATAAGTTCAGTATCTGCTAAATTCTCTTTGGCATTCCCACTGGCCTCACCATCAGCTTGTTGGGTAATGGACTCTGAATGCTACTTATTGAGATTTACCTTATTCTTACACTGATTCAAGAGTAGACATTCTGCTATTCCCTGTTGTGAGTATGTGATGTTGAAATATTTAGATAAGATTAAGGTTTCTGGATAACAAAGGAAGTGAACATGCAGAATAAATTCATTTCTTCATAGTAAAAGTCAAAGTCCTTACTGTGGCCTATAAAAGTTATCTGAGGTGTGTCTGATCTCTTTTCCTTCTAGTCTAACTTTACCTCACTTGGTTTCACTACAGTGGCCTCCTTGTGGATACTTGGATGTTATCACATGTCCTGACCTTTATATTACACCATCTGTTCTCTCTTTTCCCTCAGGTACATGTGTAACTAAGTCCCTACTTCAAGTTCTTGCTCATATTTCACCTTCTGTGTGAGACCTGTCTTGATCTCCCTATATAGCTGCCCCCACTTCCTACCCCACTGGTGGTCCCCGTTATCTTGCTCTCTACTCTATTCTTTATTCCAATGAACATAACTTTCTAACATACTCTATCACATATTCTTGATGTATTTACTTTATCATTCTTTTTTTCCCTTGCCTCTAAAATGTAAGTTTAATAAAGAAGAAGTTTTGTGTGTGTTTGTGTTTTGTTTTGGTAGTAGTTGCTTTAATTAGCAGATTTCCCTTAGTACTTAACAAAATTTGTATTTGGTGAATAGGAGTTGTCAGTGATTATCTAGTAGATAACAAATTTGGTTTTTGTAAGACTTGAGTTTTTCTACCTTAGTAAGTGATCAATTCCTGGTCAGCCTCATATCTTTTTACTTTGTCCTTCTCTTTTTATGTGATCATTTGAATACATCTAGAATTTGAGAAGAAAAAAAGTCCACATCCAAGAAAACAATGCCTAGAAAAATTAGAAAACACTCTTTACTGCCATCTGAGTTCTGTTTTTACTCTCCTTGGGATAATTGCCAGTGAGAACAGAGTATACTTGTATTTATCCTGTAAAAATGTAGCATTTCCCTATGGTCCTAACTTGGCAACTGTGTTAACCTTTGTCTTTGTCTCTGTATCCCCAGAGCAATTTTAATTCCCATATCCATGGTGATAATGCACTGTCTCACCTTTTACATTGTAGAAATATTCAGTCTGGAACAAACATAAGTTTTAATTGATGGATGGAATCACCAAGTTAATAAGACCAGTGTAATCAGTTTGTTCCTTTGTAACCTTTCTCGGGCTTAAGAAGGTCCTAAAAGTTAGGTGAATTTGGTTCATTCAGATTCTGTAACTGATGAATTGTGTAACCTTTGACAAATTATTTAACGCACCTGTCTTCAGTTTTAAAGTTGAGGTAGATTGAATTTGTTGTTGCATTGTTGTTTGCTGGTTTGTTTTTAACTCTGGAGTTTATATCATCAGAAATGTTTTAAACTTTATGTTCTGGGAAGACTTTCAAAATATTTTAGCAATTAAGTTAATAACCATATTATTGTACTGCATTTAAGACTTAAATTTGTAAGGTACCACATATCTAGAAACAAAGTTGAGCCTACAACCTAGCAAGAATTCTTTTCTTATGTACTTTCATAAGATAAGCAGATTTGTAATAATCCCTGGAATTCATTTAACTAGAAAATTAAGTCTTTAGCTGTGATAGGCAATTTAGGGTTAGTCTGTGTATCCTTAACTTCCTTTATGTTTTCTTTCCCTTTTTTCTTCTTTAGCTCTTAGGTTATCTATTGCACAATTTTATTTGCTTAGAGAACAAAAGGATGATACTTTGTACTTTATTTGACTTTTGAATTTAAATTTACATTTTATTTATCATCTCTCCTACCATTCAACAAATTAGTCTTGTATTTTGTAGATGCTTCTTAAATGCTGCTTGAGTAAATGAAGCTGCATTTATTTCTTCACTTTGTTTTCCTAATACTAAGTTAACAAAGAAAGTGATTTTAAACTTTTCTTCTTTTAAGAAAGGTGACTCTTGTGATGGTGGGACTTGATAATGCTGGCAAAACAGCAACAGCAAAAGGAATCCAAGGAGGTAAGCTGAAAATTATTCCAAAATCTAATAAATTATCCTGAATTTACATATTTATGCTAAATTGCTTTATCACATAATAATTGGGTTTATATAGTATGCACTCAGTTACTTTATATTCTTAATATACTTGAGACTTTCATGACTGGGTTCTAGCTTGTTAGTACCAGCCTAATGTTAGGGTTCAGATTTCAATAGATGCAGAGAAACAGAGGCTCCTGGAGGTCTCTTTTTAGCTAGGAGGTTGGTGTCTGTGTTCTAAAACATAAGGGGGGTAAATGCAAAAAACAATGACATACCCTTGTAGAGACAATATCCATTTTCTACATGTATGTTCTTGGTCAGAATTTGGTCATATAGCTAGGTGACATAGAAGTAAAAATGTAGTTAGCATACCTCTGCATTTCTTGATGCTATTTTTCAATGTAAAATGTATCAGTTGTTTGGGAATATTGCTGTCATTTTATCTGTGCTTACATTGCTCCCTCTGCCTAGAATGTTGTTCTCCCTCTGTTAGAATTATGTAGCTTTATGACTTCACTCACATTTCACTTCTCTGAAGCCTTTCTAGACTATAATTCACCCCTCCCTTCTTGAATTCCCTCACACTATCCTAAGTCTTTTTCATAGAACATAAAAATTCTGTTATCTTCAGTAATATTCTGTCTCTCTTTTGGCATTCAGTATTCTGTGAGGATATCAACCATATTTTTATTGATCTTTGTACTATGATTCCTAGAAAATTTCTGTTATTGAATAGACATTCAATACACATTAGTTTCCTATCTCTGCTCCACAGTAGTGGATTTGTTTTCATTTGTGATTTCCTCTGACTTGACTTAATTCATTTTCAAAGACAACTGCCTAGGGCTGGGGATATAGCTCAGATGGTAGAGTGTTCCTTCGCCTCATATGCACAAAGCCCTTGGTTCCATCCCCAGCACCACCAAAAAAAAAAAAAAAAAAAAAAAAAAAAAACTGCTTATTTGCTTATTTTGTCTATGAAAACCAGTTCTGGCCAATACTAGCTCCATATTTTTAATGATGTACTGTGATACTGTTTCTTGAAAATCAGGCTGCTTATATTAGGTCTAATCTTGCTTTTTCTAGAAAATGAAGATATAGCAAAAATGTGACTTTAAATATCTCTATTAACTTTCTCAGGAACTGTGTGAACTGTGCAGAGGTACTTGTTAAAAGAAAGTCATGCAGTGGAGATGTGTTTCTCAGTTATACCTAAGCCCAGAAAGTGCCTTTTACATTTATCTTCTTATGTTTTGCTCAATGTGGGAATCTTACTCTCTAAACTAAGGTTGGTCAGTATTATTTTCTGCAGTGGTGCGAATGGTCTGTATTTACTCTGTCCAGTAGGGTGGACCTGAAAAATCCGTGTAGTTTTTGAGCACTTGAAATATAGCTTGTACAACTGAGAAAACAATTTTTTAATTTTATTTTATTTTAATTAATTTTAAGAGCCTCATGTAGTTTTTGCTACTGTTTTAATCATACCGTGCTACACAAAGTTCTAGAGTAGCAGTTATAGTAGATTTAGTGATGTAGAGGGAATGGAAGAGACAAACATGAAACTTGAACCTATTTCTTTAAAGAGCAGGTTCTACTAATCTTTTAAGGGTTATATCTTTTCCATTCCTTTTGTTTTTTTGTTGATACCTTTCTGAAAAGTATCTGTCATTCATTTTCATTGTAGAGATTTTTGCAAAATGAATTTTTTTTTTTTAAAGAGAGAGTGAGAGAGGAGAGAGAGAGAGAGAGAATTTTTTTTAATATTTATTTTTTAGTTCTCGGCGGACACAACATCTTTGTTGGTATGTGGTGCTGAGGATCGAACCCGGGCCGCACGCATGCCAGGCGAGCGCGCTACCGCTGAGCCACATCTCCAGCCCAATGAATTTTAATAAAGCATTTCTTCAGTCACCTTTAATAGTTTTCCAAATACCTTCATTGATTCTCTGTTCTCTGACTTTGGACCCCCTCTTCAGTCTGGCTTCAGTCTTCATTTACAGTCTTAAGGATTAGCTTCAGTTTGTGGCTGTTTTCTTGATTCTCATTTCCCTTGCTTACATTATGCTTCTGCCTACCTAATTTTTAGGTCTAATTCCCATCTCACCTGTGAATTTTTTTTTAATGACCTTCAGAGATCTCTTGTTAATCCTTTTCTGTCATTACCACTCATTGACTGATATAATCATGTGCACCCTAGACTTTTTTTTTTTTTGCTGTCATATACAGAAGCGCTTCCCCTAAAAACAGAAAACCTTCAATTATACATTATTTGGAGCATCTAGTACATATACCTGTAGAAATAATGTAGTCTCTTTATTTTGTTTGCAAGCTGTTATCAAAAATTTTACTTAGTTGTAGCTCTAACTTATCTAGTTTAAAAGAGGTTGTTTTTTTTTGTAGTTTCTCCTATATTTTGATTCTTCTAAACGATTTTATTCTTTAAATGCTTATCATTTTCTTTTTAACTCCACAGAATTTATCCCTAGGGTTGACTATGGCATTGAAAGTTTGACACTTATTGTTTTTAAGTTGGAGAGGAAATAGCATTAACGACAAGAATTTATTCATTCATTTAACATATACTTACTGAATACCTATTAGGTGCTGGGATTATAGCAGCTTAAAAAATACAGAAATTTCTATCTGCATGGAATAAAAAATATAGTTGGATATTTTGTATTATATATATTTGTATTAGCCTCTTACCAAACCACTATGTTTAGATGTAGTGTCTGTTGCATAAACAAGTAGTAAATATTCCATTTAGTATTTAAATGACATTAAAATACTAGAGTTAATGTTATTTAAAGTCTAAAGATTGTTCCTTTTGTGTCATTTTAAACAGAACACCCTGAAGATGTAGCTCCTACTGTTGGATTTTCTAAAATTGACCTTAGACAAGGAAAGTTTGAAGTCACCATCTTTGACTTGGGAGGTGGCAAAAGAATTCGGGGAATTTGGAAGAATTACTATGCTGAATCCTATGGGGTAATATTCGTTGTGGATTCCAGTGATGAAGAGAGAATGGAAGAGACAAAAGAGACAATGTCAGAAGTGTTAAGACATCCTAGGATATCTGGAAAGCCTGTATTGGTGTAAGTAACAGTGTCATTGTAAATTAGGGGCGGTGGCCTTAACCAATAGAGAAGTTATCTGTTACAAAGTATTATATTAACTAAAATAGTTGTGCCCTAGTACAATAAAATGTATGTAATTAACTGAGAATTACTAATTATTGAGGCCTTCTTATAAAATAGAGATAAAGAATTAAGATTGTGTTATGGAACAATTCTTATAATTAGATCTCCTGGGTATTCAAATGTAAACTCATGTTTTAGTTGACAATTTTCTTTCTATCAAATTTACAGTTTGAAATTGTCTGTTAACAAGATTCTAGAATAATTTAAATTTTTTTCTCTTTTAATAACATATTTTGCCATTGTCCTTGTGTTTTTTTTTGAGAAGATTCTTGTTTGCAAATTATTTAAATGGTTTATTTTTCTAATGCCACTTTGATTTTGTAATATTTATTTCTTATTTTTCCATCTTACAAATATGATCTGTGTCATTACCATCTTAGTCATACAGTTATATCATTTTGTCCCACTGCCTGAACATTTTTTAAGAACAAAGTGACAAACATCTTTTGTAGTCATAGCATTTATGTGTGGTAAACACCAGATGGTGCTATACCTTTGGTAGGTAGTAAAGTGAAAGTTCCTTAGTTTAAATTTCTCTTTAATTTGAAGCTCACTAAATATTGTCCTTGCCTTCTTATTTCTTTTCCCTCATTCTTGTGATCCATTATTAAGGGTTAAAAAAAATCAACTTATCATATGGATAAATGAAAAAGTCTTAGTTCTCATTGTTCCTCAGGAGAATGAAGATTTTTTTAAGTAAGGCAGTTTGGAAGCTTTGATTACAAACGTTAAAAATCTAATTGTATCATTTATTGTTAAGCTTATACTTTAAAGTTTTTATGGATTTAACTAATTAGGGAAGGTATGTGGTTTATATAATCAATACTGAATCTGAAGTAAAACTCTTTATTAAAGATATATATGTAAAGTTAGGTTGAATTGGTCTCTACAGTGTTTAAGCAGAGAATCAGTGATTTCTAAAGTCAATGATATTAATGACTATTAAAAAAAAGATAGTAATGACTGTTGATCATTCAAAAAATAGTTATATGTTTATACTTTATAGTCATTTATTTTTCTTTTGTTCTTTTGTACATTTATTCATGCACGTACATATTAATTCATCAAGTTATTTATTGAGTATCTATTCTGTGCCAGGCACTGTTCTGGTGAGGGGAATTTGTTTGGGAACAAAAACAGTGAAACTACATGTCTGACCTCTGATGCTTATGTTTTAGTGAGTATAGTAATAAATAAAATTAACAAATTCTGTCACATTAAGTGATACATTATATTGAAACAATGAAGTAAGTGAAGGAAGATCAGGATGCCTATAGTGGTGGTGACAACAAGGGCATTTTGCCCTTATAATTAAGATTATCATAGGAATATTACACTTAAGGTGATGGAGACAGTCTTACAGATTTCTGTGGAAAAGCACCAGGGCAGGAGCTTGCAATTATTAAGTGACTGGAGTGATTTCTGAGTAATTAGATAACTATAAGTAAAATATCTGCTTTCAGTTCTGTCTTCTCTTTCAGCCAGGGTATTTCCTGAGTACAAGAAAAAAGTACACAACTCGGATGATTACTTCATCATTATAATTTTATAGTCAGTGAGAACTTGAAAAGATATGAGGATTAATTATGGATCAGTAGTATGTTTATGAAATATAATATGTCTTATTATTTTACCAACTTTTTTCAGAGGAGTTTTTTTTCCCCAAAATGTATTTTAATTTTAATTGACATATAGAAATTGTACATGTTTGTGGGGTACAGTGGGATATTTCAATATTTGTATATAATGTGTACTTTGATTCAGATCAGGGTAATTGACATTGTTATTCCAAGATTTGTGTTTGTGGTGTGAACATTCAGTCCTATTAGCTGGAGGAGGTAAGTCACTGAAGATGCCTTTGGAGTATATGTTTTATATCTGGCAAGTGGAGTCTCTCTACCTCTCTGCTTCCTGATATGATGTATTCAGCCACTTTCCTTTGCCACACTCTTCTGCCATGATGTTTTCTCATTTTGATCTCTAAAGAATGGAGCTGGCTGTCTATGGATTGAGACCTTTGAAACTCTGAGTCCACAGATAAATTTTTTCTTCTCTAAAATTGTTTTTGTCAGGTTCTTTGGTCACAATAGTGAAAAAACTGACTAAAATAACATAGGTTTATTTCTGAATTCAGTATTCTATTCCTTTTGTCTATGTGTTTGTTTTTGTGCCAGTATCATGCTGTTCTAGTTACTAAATCTTTGAACTAATGTTTTGAAGTCAAGTGTGGTAATGCCCTCCAGCTTTGTTATTTTTGCTCAGGATTGCTTTGGCTCTTTGGGGTCTTTTGTGTTTCTATAAAAATTTTAGGGAGTTTTTCCTCAATATCTGTGAAAGAATATCAATGGTATTTTAATAGGAATTTCATAAAATCCATAAATCACTTTGCATAGTATGGACATTTTAACAATATGAATTCTTATAATGCATAAGCATGGGATGTCTTTCAGTTTTTTTGTGTCCTGCTGAGTTTATTTCATGACTGTTTTGACATTTTCATTGTAAGGATCAATCACTGTCTTGATTGTATCTATTCCTAAATAGTTCATTTATTTATTTTTAAGCTAATGTGAATGGATTCCTTTCTTCTTTCTCAACAGTTTTCTTTTTGATGTATATAGTAAAGCTACAGATTTTTTTATGTTCATTTTGTGTCTTGAACCTTACTGATTTTTTTTTTAAGTCCATTGCTCTTTTTTTTTTTTTTTTTTTGGTACTAGGGATTGAACTCAGGGGCACTCAACCACTGAGCCACATCCCCAGCCCTGTTTTGTATTTTATTTAGATACAGGGTCTCACTGAGTTGCTTAGAGCCTCGCTATTACTTGAGGCTAGTTTTGAACTTGCCATCCTTGTGTCTCGGCTTCGTGAGGCACTGGGATTACAGTCATGCGCCACTGCACCCAACCTTTACTGGATTTATTTATCAATTCTAGCAGTTTTTTGGTAGAGTCTTAAGGTTTTAAATCATGTAATTTTCTAACAGGGATAATTTAACTTCTTCCTTTTTAAATTTGAGTGTCGTTAATTTCTTTCTTTTGCCAAATTGCTTTGGCCAAAACCTTCAATACCATCTTGTATAAGGTTGATGAAAGTGGACATCCTTGTTTTGTTTCTGGTCTTAGAGGAAATGATTCTGGCTTTTCCCATTCACTCTGATATTATCTGTAGGCGTTTTTGTTTGTTTGTTTGTTTGTTTGTTTGTTGCTGTTCTAATTAGTTATCCTAGACAGCAGAATATGCACTTCAACTCATTGTATACAAATGGAGTAGAATTTTTCATTTCTCTGGTTGTACACAATGCAGTCACACCATTCATACAATCATACACTTACATAGGGTAATAATGTCCATTTCATTCCACCATCTTCCAACCCCATACCCCTTTCCCTGTCCTCTCTCCCCTTTGCTCAATCCAATGTTTCTCCATTCTTTCCTTGCCCCTCCTCCCTATTATGGATCAGTATCCTCTTATCACAGAAAACATTTGGTCTGATTGACTTCCTTCGCTTATCATGATACTCTCCGGTTCCATCCATTTGCCTGCAAATACCGTAATTATATTCTTCTTTAAGGCTGAGTAATATTTCATTTTGTTTATATACCAGAGTTTCTTTTTCCATTCATCTATTGAAGGGCATCTAGGTTGGTTCCATAGTTTAGCTATTGTGAATTGAGCTGCTATAAACATTGATGTGGCTGCATCACTGTAGTATGTTGATTTTAAGTCCTTTGAGCATAGACTGAGGAGTGGGATAGCTGGATCAAATGGTGGTTTCATTCCAAGTTTTCTAAGGAATCTCCATACTTCTTTCCGTAGTGGTTACACCAATTTGCAATCCCACCAGTAGTAAATGAGTGTACCTTTTCCCCCGCATCCTCACCAACACTTACAGTTGCTTGTATTCTTGATAATTACCATTCTGACTGGAGTGAGATGAAATCTTAGTTTTTATTTGCACTTCTTTAATTGCCAGAGAAGTTGAACAGTTTTTCATATATTTGTTGATAGATTTTATATCTTATTTTGGCTGCTCAGTTCCTTAGCACATTTATTGATTGGGTTATTTGTGGTTTTTTGGTGTTAAGTTTTTTGAGTTCTTTGTATATCCTGGAGATTAGTGCTCTTATCTGATGGATGTGTGATGAAGATTTTCTCCCATTCTGTAGTCTCTGTCTTCACATTACTGATTGTTTCCTTTGCTGAGAAAAAGCTTTTTAGTTTGAATCCATCCCATTTATTGATTCTTGACTTAATTTCTTGCACTTTAGGAGTCTTGTTAAGGAAGTCAGGTCTTAGCCAACATGATGAAGATTTGGGCCTACTTTTTTTTCTATTAAGTGCAAGGTCTTTGGTCTAATTCCTAGGCCCTTGATCCACTTTGAGTTGAGTCTTGTGCAGGGTGAGAGATAGAAATTTAATTTCATTTTTGCTACATGTAGATTTCCAGTTTTTCCAGTACCATTTGTTGAAAGACAATTTTTTCTTTAATGTATGTTTTTGGCACTTTTGTCTAGTGTTAGATAACTGTATTTATGTGGGTTTGTCTCTGTCATCTATTCTGTACCATTGGTCTACAGGTCTATTTTGGTGCCAATACTATGCCGTTTTTATTACTGTAACTCTGTAGTATAGGTTCAGTTCTGGCATTGTGATGCCTTCTGCTTTATTCTTCTTGCTAAGGATTGCTTTAGCTATTCTGGGTTTCTTATTTTTCCAAATGAATTTCATGATTGCCTTTTCTGTTTCTATGAGGAACATCATTGGTCTTTTAATTGGAATTGCTTTAAATTTAAAGCAATTCCAATTAAAAATTATTTTGACAATAATAATTTTGCCTATCTAAGAACAAGGGGGATTTTTTCATCTAAAATTTCTTTCTTTAGTATTCTGT